ATCTACGATGGCAAGACTAACAAAGTTAGATTTTATGACAAGGGCCACAAGGTAATGATTCTTTCTTTGCCATTGAAGGAGGTTCGAAAAGATCAAGAAAGTTTGCGAAGGAAGATGCAAGAAGCTGAAAGCCTTAAAATAGATAAAGTAAAACAAGTATCCAAAGAGGAAAAGAATAGTCTTTTGGTAAGGGTTCCAACATCCTTATTTCACTTATCGATTTTCAACGAGAAATCGGTGACTTAGATCATCGAAATAGGGGTTGTTTTATGTTGGTATGCAAAGATTTATTTAATTCTGATAGAGATAATCTACTCACTAACTTTCTCATTCCCTTTGCTAGGATGCTTGAAGAGATGAAGGATGTATACCCGGAGGAACTACTGGAAGGACTATCACCCATTCGTGGGATAGAGCATCAAATTGACTTTGTACCCGGTAACTCGATTCTAAATCGTCTGCATATCGGTGTAATCCAATGAGAATAAGAAGATTAAAAAACAAGTCCAAGAACTTCTTGAGAAAGGATGGGTTCGCGAGAGATTATCACCATGCGTTGTTCCTGTTATCATTGTCTCCATAATAGATGGAACTTGGAGGATGTGTATGAATGTAGTATGGTGAATGCGATTACCATTAAGTATCGACACCCAATCCCATACCTAGATGACTTTCTTGATAAGATCAATGGAGCGAGAATTTTCTTCAAGATTGACCTTCGGGGTGGATGTAATACACCCGAAGTTGGGCGGGTGGTAGGACAACTCCTATAGATGAGCTAGTGCTATGTCATCCGAGGTTGAATCTAGATTAAATAGATTCAATAGACTACACATGTCAATAATGTGCACAATTTTTTTCGAGAGCGCTACTGAAAGAACTCTAGAGTTAAGCGTGCTTGCCCTAGAGTAATTTGGGGATGGGTAACCCCCCTGAGAAGTCTCCCACGGTGTGCATGAGTGAGGACAGAAGCGCGCTGAAAAAGGATTCGTGTTGACCTATAGGACTAATCTGCAATCTCAACACACCCGGGTTTGCGTGGCCCACAGTTGGGCCGTTGCTCTCATGTCAATAATGTGCACATTTTTCTTCAGAAGCCCTACTGAAAGAACTCTAGAGTTAAGCGTGTTTGCTCTAGAGTAATTTTAGAATGGGTAATCCTCTGAGAATTCTCTCAAGGTGCGCCCAAGTGATGACATAAGCGCACTGAAAGGACTCGTGTTGAACTGTGAGGCCAGTCTACAATCCCGACAAGCCCGGCTTTGAGTGGCTTGCGGGCCGGGGTGTCATAGTTGGTATCAGAGCTGACCCTACGACAACCTGCAGTCGTGATCGGATTGTTGGCGGGCCTAGCAGTTGAGAGATCCTTGGAGTGCAACGGGGACATTGCATTCTTAAGTAGGGGAGGATGTAATACCCCCGGAGTTGGGCCGGTGCTAGGCCAACTCCCATGGATGAGCTGGTGTCAAGCCATCCGAGGTTGAATATCGGTCAAATGGATTGAATAGACTACTCATGTCAACAATGTGCACATTCCTTTTCGGGAGGTTTGTACAAATGTTTGGTAATGCCATTCGGCCGAGCTAACGGTCCTAGTACTTTCATGTTTAATGAATCATGTTCTACGTGCTTTCATTGGTAAATTTGTTGTAGTCTACTTTGATCATATTTTTGTTTACAGTAAAAGTGACGAAGAACATGCTCCACGACTGGTCTTTCAACTGTTAAGGGAAGAACAACTGTATGCTAATTTTAAAAAGTACATATTTCACACTAATGAAGTTGTTTTCCTTGGGTTTTTAGTTCGCAAGGATGGCTTGAAGGTTGATGAAACAAAAGTTAAGGCAATTAAAGAATGGACACCTCCAATCAATGTGGGAGAAATTATGAGGTTTTTGGGAATATGTGGATTTTTTCGGAGGTTCGTGCATGGTTTTAGCTTGATCGCTGCTCCCCTCACTTTCTTGCTCAAGAAGAGAGTCCCGTTTAAATGGGAACAAGCACACCAAAAAACATTTGAGGCATTAAGCATAAAGCTTACTCAATCACCAATACATCTGCTACCAAATTTTGGGAAGGCCTTTGAACTTGAGTGTGATGCTTCGGGCAAAGGAATGGATGTATTTTTGCTTCAAGAAGGTCGACCCATAGCTTATCATAGTGAGAAATTTGGAGAGGCTGCCTTGAATTACTCTATCTATATATGGCAAGGAGATGTATGCGGTGGTACAAGTTTTAAGGACATGGAAACATTATTTGATGACATGAGAGTTTGTGATACACACCAATTTATGCGAACTTTCCAAGGATGATAGTTCGGATCGAATTCAACAGGAATAAGTAACAAGAATATTGGACAGACTTTAGTAGCAAAGCGATGGATGGATAGATGTATATATATTTATGAAGAACCTAGACTCTCTTGAATTGAGAGGTAGTCGGGAAGGCAACACGAGAGATCAAGCTTACGTCTCACAATCCTCTAAACAAACCGACAATACAAGGTAAGGAAAGAATAGTTCCAGTACTATTCGAGAGGCCATGACTTGTTTCAAATCAGTCGAAACAACTCGATTTGTGGGGTATGAAGAGGTGAGGTTAAAATGACAACATAGTTAAAAATAATATCAATACATATATGTCAATATGCAATATATTTACAACCGAGTCAATCCAAAACCGACACCAATAGCATAGTTCAAAATGAGACCAATACAAACCTATCAATATGCAATATATTTGCAACTAAATCACTCATAGAAATGACCTCACAATTCATAGTTCAAAATAACACAAAAACATGACACCAACAACACGCCAATATATTACGGAATCACCCTTAACATGCTGACCAAAATTCCAAATGCAAAAACCCCCGCCACACACAAAACCAAACCATGTCATTCACTACATTTAAATCTAGCCACACATTCACAATCCTTTAGAACAATCATGATTCCACTTGGGAACCAGTGGCACCTCTCGTTTGTTACTTCCTTGATTCCATGTTCTTGTTTGTCTCGCCTTGTAAGAGAACCTTAATGCACATAATCTGAAGGTTAGTGATGATCCATGTTGTGGAGTTCTGATATTTAGACGTGGAAAAGTAGTTGAAGGCTGAGATGTTGTTGGAATCACTTTTCCTCATATTTGCGTTATTGATATCTGTTTTTTCAGCTTTCGTGGCACATTTAATGGTTGCTCCTATTAAATAACATAATATCATTAACATGAAGAGAGTATAAAATTCCTTTTTTTTGTGTGTTGGAAAGTAGAGGTTAGGGATGTTATATTTTACTTTTGTTTACCTTTAATCAAAATTGATAGCTTCTAACTCAATTTGGCCGATTGTACGCACAAAATCGATGGCCTGAGCCTCTGAACCAACATCGCTACTAGTTTGGGCAAAATTTGTGGCTAGAGCTTCTGATACAACTTGGTCAGGTATAGTACTTTGACACTTCTGCAATGATTCACATAAGTTATATGGTATTCCCTTTCGAATCTATTTTATGCCTTAAACGTAAATAGTTTTTGAAGGTAAGAGATTCTAACCTGAACATTCATTTGGTGAAGAAGGTCTTGTGTTTTCTCAGCTACTACGACTCATTCTCCTCTAACCAACCTAATCTTTTTTATTTGTAATCACATTGTATTAGTAGGAAAGTTTGATCACATCGCATTAGTAACTGACCAGCAGGCGCAAGGCTTTTGGAAGAAGAAGTTGAGCCACCAATAGCAGTGGATATTTCACCTTGTCCCTATATAACATACATTAGTGTTTTCACATACATGTCACTTATTCGAGTAGTACAATAAACTAATACCTTTGGAAATCTTGAATATAAGTGTAGTGTTTTTTGTAGCTTCTTTTGTTACATCCTTGTTCAAGACATATTGCACAATTATGATTCAAACCTTTCTTACTTGCTTTCAATGAATCTTAACTATCATTTGCATAAGGCCTTCGTATGTTCTTTGCCTTCCAGTTCACGTCTTTATAATGGGAGGATCAACAAAGTCATGCATTTCTGACACAAGATTCATCATGTGGCTATACAAATATAAGTACAGCTATTTGTTGAAGTAAAAATCCACATACTCCAACGGATCTTGTCTATTCATGTCTAGGGCAGCAAGGCATGATAACATGGGTATCTCACCAATTAAAACAAACCACATGTGCAGCTCTTGGATTTAAGATGAACAACATGGTTAGACTGCCAATGCATGATCTCAAATTTGTCCTCACTTGCCTGAGTTGGAAAATAATTAAGACTTTTCGTTCTTTGCACCTCAATTTTCTTCACGATGTTTGGGCATATTATACCATCAAGTTTTTTCATTCCTCCCATCTTAACTAGGATGCATGTCGTCTTTTTTCTTCTAATCCATTGAAACATTTCAATGATTGAGAGATTGCAGATAGCCATGATGTAGTGATTAAATGGCTCACCAATGTTGTTGACCAAAACATCACCCTTACTTCATATCGGGAAATAGGCTCTTACCCATTGATGTTCTGGAATATCGGACAACCACTCAAATGTATTTTTGCTCCCATTCACCTTTGGACCACACTTGAGTATTTCTTTCATTATTTTCTTATGCATGTTCACATGTTAGGTTGATGCAACCTTCCAAAATAATCTCTTCAGCTCTAATCCCTTAAATCTTAACTTAAAATTATTGTATATATGTAGGCAATATTGATGCTCAGCATTCAGCACATGCTTTCCTAGCGCTTCAACTAGACCTTTTTGTCTGTCGGACATAAAGGACCAACTACCATATATGCTTTCCAAATGTCTCTGATTCAAAGATTTAAGAACCAATCCTAGGTATCGAACTTTTCAACCTCAATAAATTCCCTAGCCCATTCAAGAAACAACCATTGACTCCAATAATTGGCTTACACACCACCTGAAATCAATCAGAAAATAGTTTCAAACAAACATACATCCATCTACAACACTGGAGGAGTCATCTCTGGATCTACTTTCAAAATGCAAGAACTTTTTTAATTGTGTTTGCGAACAGTCGCGCAATAGTCATATAGTCCATGGTATTGCTCTTTGATATCCCCTTTCAAAAGTTCTATAGCATGTTGCTTTGCTTGTTACACTTTGTGAATGCCTACATCCACGTCAACATCTCTCTAGATCTTCTGTCGTAAAGATTCAAGAGACTCTCCAAGATTGTCTTCACATAATTCTTAATCTTCTTACCTAGATACATATTGCAAACAATAAAACACCATTACAATACATAGAGCGGTAAAATAATACTACAAAAAGTAAGCATGTTATATCAATTTGAAATAGCATGTTATACGAACGATTCTCAGCATACATCCATGATGGGCAGGCCTTATACTACCAGATACACAAACATTTCATAGAACATAATATGAGCAATAATGTACATACTAGAAATATGCTTGTGATTTTGTTGTCATATGGGCATATTTGTTGCTTGCTTTAAGTGATTTGATTTTAAAAGTGGCCCCCTTCATGATTGTGATGCTCGAATAAACCATTCACATCCTTTCTTACACGTTGCACTCACTATGTGCTTCTCCATCTTTGGGTACTTCAAGTCCTATCCTTTTTGAACTCTCTAATCCTTAAATGCTTCCTTAAATTAAATTTTTTCGTGATAGAAATTTAATGCCAACCTTCAGATTTGTGGCAGCCATATTTCTTCTTCATCGGACGACAATGGAGTTTCCAAATCAGCCTCTCCTTTTGAGGCATCACCACTATACCAAATGGAACACTGCTCATTCTTCTTTTCACTTACCTTATCTCCTGCACAGTTATCTTTGACAACACTCTATAGTTCTTTTTTTTTTTGTTTCCTTTCTTAATGTCCTTAACTCCTTCAACAACTTTTTTATTTTACCTCGATCATTTTCTGGCTTCTTAGAAAAAAATATCATCATCAGAAAGACCGTCGAAATCGTCATACACCTACGATGGAACTTCACAATCATTGTCATGCCTTTGTTTACTTAAACTGTCACTCTCATCAACATCATCCCCGCCACTTACTAGCATTTCACCATTGTCACTTGAAAACTGACCATCATCAGTACCCATCCTCTCATTGTAGCTCCCAAATCCTCTATCGATTCCCACCACTCTAAAATGGGCAACAATCTCACATATGCTTTCGTAGTTGCATCAGCCCCCCTTCTGATTAAATATTTTGTCATGTCTCCTCGATTGATTCTACACTACGTCCTTCGTCCTTCATATTGAAACCTACAATTCATAACAAACAAATTTAAAACATACAACATCATATTATTAAAACCTACTTGACAAAAAAATAGTATATTACCTTACCTCACCATGAGTCTTCACAAAACAAATAAAAATAAATAAATAAATAACTACATGGCCCTCCCTCCCCAAATTGCATAACAAAAAATTAAAGTAAACAAATCTCAAACCCGAAATATATATATCCAAAAATTACACCGGATAATGTATTTTATGTCAACGAAATACATAAAAAAAAATTGTTCACAAAATCCAATACAAGTTCTTTAGATCAGGAATAATTTCATACCCTCAAATTCACCTCCACGGCTGACGCCAAATTTGTGGTCGAAGAATATGTCAATCGCCGGAGAATGTTGGAATGCTGCTCGAATCCCTAATCTAAATCCCTATTCACAAAATTAGAGAATAGGAAAAAGGAATGGAGATGAGTGCGATCGATTTATTCTACTGATTTCTTTGTTTTAATTTTATTTGTGTAAAAAATACTAATTATTTATATTAATTTCATGAAATGGTACGGAATAGGAGGGGATAACAGTCATTTTAAAAATTATTTAACTCTGTTAATAAAAAAAAAATGGAGCCTATGCATAATATTAATAACAATGGGTGTTTTTAAGTAATTTTTTTACATAGGGAATTTCATGAATATTTATTAAAATACAAGTGTGGAATATACAATTTACCCTTTTAATTATATTAATAAAGAAAGTAAATTACACGATTAAGACTTAATTACTAACTAAAAACTAAAATATGAGCACAATTCCAATATAACATCATGATTCATGGGCTAGAGAAGATATCTAATAGGCCAAATGAGGGAGCCCACCGCCACAACCACCACTAAGCCCAACTTCAATTGCTTGCAGCCCAAACTAATGAGAAGCCTTGAAACCACTGCGACTCATGGTGAGAGGTTGATGCTCGACCCAGGAGATGAAGATCCAATCCAAATGTTGCTTGACACTTGCCTAGTACTGCACGAAGCCTCTTTGAGGCCCAAACCAAAAATACAACAATGGTCCAAACCAAGGCACTGGCCAACAATCCAAATTCACTGTGTCCCAGCCTACCCAAAATATAAGCAACCCAAACCTCATCAACCCAACTGAAGACCAACTTCAGGCTCCCAAATATAGCCCAACAACAAACAGACTCGAAAACAAACCAAAAGGTCCGAACACACCAAGAGACCAAATAAAAGAAAACAAAAACTTTCCAAGGAGCCCAACATCCAAAACCCAATAAAAAGCTAATGCCAAAAGGAAAGAAAATCCAAACAAAATCCGAATAATTTAGAAGTGTCTCGCCTAGATGAAATACTCAATCTATGCAGAAAGCAAAATCCAGACTGAGATCAGGACTCCATAATCTACCACATGACAAACTTGAAGACAAATTATGGAGATCAAAACGATTTGAAGACTCCAATTCTACTACCAACCCAAAGTAAATGTAACCACTCATAGAAATACTCACCATCTCAAATTAATACCCGAAGCTTGGCATCCCCAACTTATCATTACAAATTTGGGCTCAAAAATTTGAGATAAGTACAAAAGACAGGTTTAATTAGCAAGGAAATCGACCAAGTACTCCATTCTTGCATAATATAAACTTTCCCATTGAATTTGTTCTACTTTGATGTGGATTTTAGCGATGAGCTCTTGTAATGTCCAATGTGATGAGAGGAAAAGACAGTTTGTCTATACGCTACATAATCAATTTCCATCCACATAATTTAGAAACCCTTATCGAGAGCAATCTCAACTCTTGTAAGAATTGAATGGAATTCTACAGAAATATTAAAAGCATATTGTGTACTCTTGGACTGCAAAAATGGGATCCCCAAAAGAGTTGCGTAGGATTCCAACTTTCCCAGCGTCACCAAGATTATTTTTTAAACTTCATCTATATTGAGTCTAAACCTCTCTTCTTGATATTTTTCCTAAAATAACCCATTCTAATACATCCATCAAGTTTCTCTTAGAGTTGTACTCCCAACTTCTTAGAAATTTCCAATGATTTTTTTTAAATATTCAATGTTTTTCCAACACTTGTAAATGATTGTGTATTCACCACAGGATCTAATTACATAAAAAGGTTACATAAAAAGTTAATTCACTATTTGCTTTGCATCATTTCTCTCTATTATTAAAAACTGTGAACGAATCAAAGATTTTATTACGAAATCAAGTTAAAATATTGAACTAGATTTGGTTTTTATAGGCTCAGCCCCAAACCAACTGGGAAACTCAAAATCACATAATATACAACCGAACTTGCGACAAACACACACAAAACCAGTCCTAAACTACAACACAAATCAAACTATCACCCCCACAAGTAAAACAAGCACAACAGAATAGAGAAGTGCCTTCAACGTTGAAAAGATCCCTTTGCAGCTCTGATCAACAAAACAATGGATGAGATCGTGCTAAGGAACTCCACAGAAAAGAGAAAAACACCTCTGTGGACCACCGGAATAGTAATCGTCAAAGCAGTAGGGTCGAGAGAGAGGGGAGAGGCAAGCTAGAGAGCGATGTATAGAGAGAGAGAGATTATGAGTATGGCTACAGCGCTTCCTCTCTCTACATATATATAGGTAGGTCAAAGTTGGATGAACGGCTCATATCATTACCCTAGATCGGACACCTAGAGCTCATCCTCAAATAGATGCGGATCTAACCGGCGGGTTGGGCGGTTCGGGTCGAAAGTTCGCGGGCACAGTTCAAGGCCACGGGTCAAGGGCTGGTGCAAATGGATCTGGGCCAAAGTAATGTGTGGACTGCAAGCTTGGTTGTATTGTGTAAGAATTGGGGTGGATCTAATTTGGACAAAAAAACAATACTCTCAACTAAAATGAATCAAAAGATTAGTAAGGGAAGAGATAAGTGAATGTTTTAAGTATACTTTTTATTTCAATATTATTTATAAAGTATTTCATTACAAACTTTTTATTTATCATAGTTATATACTTCTTTCGTTTTAAAATAATAGTCTCATTTTTCTATTTTCGTCCGTCCCAAAACAATAGTCTCATTTCAATTTTTGGTAACTAATTCCTCATCTTTTACAAAACTATCCCTACATTTTTTACAATAATTACATAAAGTAAAGGTATTTTAATCTTTTAGAAACACTTTTATATCCACTATCAATATACTATTATTATTTCTTAATTTTTGTGTCTATCCCAAATGTCTCGTTTTAGACTGAGGAATATTTTATTATTGTAAATGACATTTATCTTGTTTTTAAAAATTTAAAAGTCAAAATATCGTGAGACATAGAAATAAATTCCAAAATCCATCCAAATAAACCTCAATTATTCGTTGAAAATACAATAAAATTGTAATTTTAGCATTACAATTAAGTATTTTATCAAATGAAGTTCATTTTTCTTATTGAAAAGCCTTGTTTAGCAAGGCTTTCTACATTTACAAAGTCTAGGAGAAACTCCTTGAAATAGGCCTTCGCCGGATGTATAACCAGCTTTTACGCAATCTTGTCGACAATTGAAATCTTTTACGCAATCTTGTCGACAATTGAAATCATTTACGCATGTAGAAAGGGAAGCTGCAGAAATTTTGTGCCGCAGCCAAATTATGGTCTGCATGTGAGCAAAATTTATAAACTTGTTATGTCATTCTATAATTTAAAATAAAGAGTTGACACAAGATTTTATTTAGTAATGGTTAAATATATATAATAAAATAAACCATCGTATCTAGTAATTTTGCTTAGATAAATATTACTTCATACTTAAAGTTAAGAGAACATGGATAAACCATATTTCTATTTTTTTATTTGTTGTTTAACTGTATATATCATTCTCGTCCCTAGTTTCTTGCGATTTATAAACGATAATTTATAAATTTATTGTGTAAATATAACTGAAAATTATTTTTAAAAAATCCTACGTGGAATTTGACAATCATAAATATTATACACTACAAGAAATTATCAATTTTGTAACGAGATTTTTTCGTTCCTAAATTCACCTTTTCCGTTACTAAAGATATTAGAGACGGAATTAGATATGGAATTATGTTAGCTACGTGAACTTTAGGAACGGAATTCCGTTACAAACATACTATTTTTTTGTAGTATTAGTGTACGATATCCAAGAGGAACAACTAAAAAATACACACCAGGGGAAGGAACCAACAATAAGAGAAGGAAAAGGCTAAGAAATTATTTGAACTCCATGTATACGTGTATCTATAATTGGTGTTTATGTTGTAAGTGTTTATATAGAGTGATAAAATATCGTAATAAATAATATAATTTAATGCGTAACGAAATCATCGACAATTATCACAACAAATGATAGAAATCCACGATGATTAATTATAGGTTACTATATAATATTTGGCTACTTTCCATATTTGTTCTTTTATCACACGATCTTACTAAATCCATGAAGATTATTGTTATAATATTTATTTTTTCCTTTAATTACAACATTTGAGTTAAATATTGTGACAATTTCCGCCTCATTTATTATTATTAGTTTAAACTTTGGTAGGTAGATAATTTCAATTGGTTATTTTATATCAATTTGGGTATATATGGTGCACCATGTTGACCATTATACTGTGTCTTGGAACTTATCAAGAATTTTATTCTAAGTTCAAGATATGTCAGTTTTGAAATAATTGAGATAATAAAATAAAGAAAATTAGATTTAATCTTATTCCATTAGCACAAACAGATTCAGATCTACAAATCGATAGAGGATTTTGAGTTCTTCAAACCTATGATGCAACCCCTTCTGAGAATACCGCTAGGGTTTTTTGCCGTAACTCTCACGGTGAGATATGAAAAATAATGGTTGTTGCGTCTAGACTTGGGATCACAACCCAATTTATATCCCTTATTCTTAATTGGCTTCATCACCCAATTAATAAGTTACCGGGTTTCTGCACATAGGAGGTCCGCACTTACTAAATACATCTAAGCCTAATAAATTAATAAATCACTTAATATAGGCATAATCTGACTTATAGCCCAAATAGTTACGTTTAACCCACAATTGGATTTTTAATTCAACAATCTCCTATTTAGGTAATTGTACAGGGAATAACCTTATGAGCTCATGAAATTTTGCTATCAGATTCTTTAATGTATATTATCAATCTTATCTATAAGTCACATCAATGCAGATCAAAGCGGTTGTCACTGCATCTATTACAATGGGACCGAACAGTGGTCACAATACTAATATAACCTAAGATTCGATCAAGTGCGGATGCACAACGTGGAAATTTCATGTAATATGATCTTAACATGTCTATTTTCAACTGATCCACCTTAACTCTAATTTAGAAAAACTGAATACTGAATTAAAACTAAATACTGAATATAAAATAAAGCAACTTTAACTGTATTTGAACATTACTAATCAGCTCCCACTAAACCGAAGTATGAAAATATGGTTCCACTCTCGAACGAGCAACATGCTCACTATAGAACTTAAGTGGAAACTCTTTAGTAATTAAGCCGATCCGCAATCATGGAAGCTATATGAATATATTCAATAACTAATTCATGATACAAAGTAACCCTATTAAGTAAATAATGATTATTATTATCAAATGATGTACTAGTTTTAATCGATTTTGAATTCTGGAAGAGACAAAGCTCTATATCCGAATGAACAATAATAACTGAATTTGTTCAAAATAGATATCGAAATTAAATTTTGACTAAAAATGGTACCATAAAAATGCCCATCCACGTTCAAATAGTAGCAAATACTCAATAATAATCTAAAATTGTCAATGACTTCAATTTTAACCTTCTTGCCGTCACCCATATAGATGTATCTTTCAACATCAATTGATTTTCGTCAATAGTAATAATCTAGCATAGATACACTGATGTAAGTTGTTACACTAAAATTCAACCCCAGGTGTGTTTATGAATTTAAATTAAATTAATTTCAAGAGTAAAACCAATAGAACAAACATGTCCTCCAGAAAATCTAACTTAAATTCCCATTTATTAGCAATATTAGACATGTTCAGGATGTACTCCCTTACGTTACATTTGCCTTTATACCTCATGGTAATGAGACTCTTAACAAGAATACGCATTTTCCGTCTTATCGCTTTTGGTAAAACTTTTCTTAATTTCGACAAAGAATCCTTTGGCAGTAGTGATATCATCAGATATCATACCTCCGAAAAATTTATAGAGTACTATTCCTAATGATAATCAGACTTAGGCGTTGGACCTACCCCACTTCTCAAATAACTGATTTTCATATGCAGTGTTTTTCTCCGTATGAGTGGATTGGTCTACTCTTAATGCCAAGTCAAAATTCATGCAACCAAATGAATCATAATGAAGCTCAATAATAATGCATTCTCATCCCAAAACACTAAGTGCAACATCAATGATCAATTTTTTGATCAATAACATTGATTGCTAGCAGTTATCTTGTTACAATAATCATATACGGATAATAAGTAATGTCAAAACATCAACCAATCTTTGGTCTGATTTACTCTTCACATAAGTTAAATTTATATAATCATCTCATATTTATTATTGCAGACGTATATGTTATTCTGTCAATTACTAACTGTCTTTGGGCCGAAGAATAATCACATGAATTAAAATACACATAGACACTTATGTTATCAAATAAAAATCTCATATAAGAGAGGTTACTTTGGCAACGTCAAATACTTGATTTTCACCGTCAAAACCCAGCAAGCATTATTAATAAAATTCTAATTTTCTTAAGCTAAATTCTAATCAGAATCACGCTCAATGTATACGAGTCTAATTCCATAAAAATAAAACAATGCTTATTAACAATTGAATGCACATATCTATAAGCTACTGAATGCTCCGTATGTGAATTTATAAAATAAATTAGCAATTTTATCATAAGTTATCGAGCAACATCAGCAATTTTCTTTGGACAAATTACTGACTCGTCAGTGATAAACTTGTTTTGACAATCGAATATTGACAATACAGTAGTATATCAAACAATATTTCATCTTTGGATAGATCTATTATTAGCACACAAATAACCAAATTATCATCACCATATTCAATATCGCTAAACATGTATGTAACTATTTAATCGCTGAATTGTTTTTGTGTCAATTAGTAGTCTTATAAATCACACACACAACCTTCTAATATATAAAATAAATTGATTTATATAGCAGATGTTGCTTTGGCAACATAACTGTTTCAACCAATTCATAAAATATATTATATTATTTATTGCTAATTAAATTCACCTTAAAATAAATCATATATGTATGTCCAACACATATTAATACTATAACATCAGCAATTAATTTCTGGACTCATTAAAATAATTTAGTAGTCCAAAAAATTACTAGATGCAGCGGAATTACACGGGTAAAAATATGTAACCCAAAGAGACTATAAATTTAATATAATAAATATTCATAATCAAATTTGCACAAATGCATATTTTAAATATATATATGTTAATGTATCCCAAATTTATCTTGATCATTAAATATATCAGAATAAATTCTGATAGATCAAATCAATAATAAAATTAA